CAAAAATCTAAATTATTATGTTTAAATATCCCTATTAGGGAACAAAATGAAATTAGAGATGCATCTCATTTAGAGTTATGTTATTCAAGTTTTAAATACTTAGGAATATGGGTAACAAAAAATCTTAATCAATTAATCTACAGAAATTATAAAAATCTATTTAAATTTGCAAAAGAAAAAATGACAAAATGGGTCAATTTGAACTTATCAATGGTGGGGAGAATTGCTCTGATTAAATCTTATATATTACCAAAATTTCAATTTCTATTCCAAAATATCCCATTACAGCCAGATAGAAAAAAAGTAAAACTATGGCAAGGAAAGCTAGAAAATTTTATTGCAGGAAAGGGAAAGAAGATAAGATTTATAAATAGCGTCAAATATAGACAGGGTCAAAAGGGGGGATTAGGAATACCACAGCTCCTAAAATACTATGAAGCTTTGCAAATAAACCAAATTATTAAATTTATACAAATTGACGAGACTTGTAAAAATTCAGACTGGGTTAAAATGGAAAGTGAAATGAAAATGGACATAGTAAACAAGTATATTTATACTACAAAAACAATTGGAAAAGGAGAACAAATACAGAACCCATTCATTTCTGAAACATTAAGGATATGGAGAAAACATAGTAAAACATTGGCCCCCCCAGTATCCCCTTTATGTCCCCTCATGGATCACCCAGATTTTAAGTCTAAAGAAAAATATGCACAATTTAAGGAATGGAAGCAAATTGGAATATATAGAATTAATGACTTATTCGAGTCAGGGGAACCACTCACTATCAGACAAATAGAGGAGAAAACAAAGCAAATAAAAAGCAATTGGCTACAAATAAAACAAATAAGAAGTTTCGCTACTCACTTACAACAAAAAACTGGCCTTCTAAGAACATTAACCGAATTCGAACAATATTGTATACAAAAAGATAAAAATAAAAAGAAAGGATTAACCTCACTAATATATAAAAGTATTATTGAAAAAGAATATGGAAAAGGTGGAGGATCTAAAACAGTGTGGGAAACAAATTTAAATATTAATATACCTGAAGAAACTTGGACAGGAATCTGGAAAAAATATCCATATAAATCTATTTCAGCAAGTGCAAAAGAAACGGTTCTAAAGGTAGTGCACCGATGGCATCTATGCCCTACAAAACTACACAGAATTAATAAAGATATATCTGATAAATGTTGGAGGAACTGCGGACAAAAGGGAACTCTGGAACATATGTGGATCTCTTGCCCCAAAATAGAAACTTTTTGGCTGGAGGTAATTAAATGGATAGAAACACTGACTAATCAAAAAATAGAGATTAATGAAACATTATTGTTATTTTCATTATTCACGGGGGGAAATGAGAAACTACAATATAAAGAATTAATTGCAAATCTCATAGGCACCACAAGATCTGAAATAGCTAAAAATTGGAAAAAAGCCCAAGATCTCTCACTGCAAGCATTCACAAGTAAAATATGGCATACATTGTTGATGGAAAAAATGACGAATAAAGTTAGAGTACATAGAGGCGAAATAAGCCATAGTAAATTCACGGAAAACTGGAAGCCATTATTAAAATATGCCGATAAAATGGAGACATGTGGTTTGAAAAGAGACTTAGATTGTTGGTGAATTTTTTAAAAAAAGGTGATGGGGAAAGGTATATATGTGTGATTTGGAGAAAAGTGGGGAATAGTTTTGTATTTAATATTTGTAAAATGTTCGATTGTCTTTTCATTCTTTAGAAATAATAAATATTTTTTTTAAAAAAAAACCTCCTTAGAGGGACCAAATTGCAACAAGCCCTGCATGACCTCAGAAAGCCCCTCTAGATGGCACTGTGGAGACCTTGCAGATGTTTCTTTGTTACCATCACTGTTGCAGAGTTTCAGTAATGAGCTCTTTAACTAGGGTTCCGTTAGTCTTGAGATGAATATTCTGCCATTTGTGTTCTAGTTGTCTTCTTGGAGTCAGTGCTTCTGTATACCAAGGAGCCAATTGGGGTGTATAGGGAGAAGATGCCCGCTAGCAGTTGCATCAGCGGACAGGCTATAAAGAACAGTCTTTTCAGGAAATGTGCCCATTGCTGCTCATAATGTGGTCACCAATGTGGTCAGCATTACTGATCTGAAAAAAGAAGTAAAAACAAATTTCAAGGGAAACCTGTCAATACAACGTAAAAATCATTAATCTAATACATTCAGCATTAAAAACATACCTCATTATAAATGTGCCTGTATTTATTTATTTCTCTATCATATTTATATCCTATCTTTCCTTCAGTGAGATCAAGACAGTGTATAAATCTTTCTTCCTCAACCACTTTACCCTCATAGCAACCCTATGAAGTAGGTCAGGTTAAGGAGGTGTAATTCCCAAGGTTACTCATTACATGGCTGTATGTAGTTTGAACACAGAGCTCCCTGGTTCTACTGAAACACTTCAGTCACCGCACTGGCTCTCTCTTAAGGAACACTGCGTGTTCCCTGAGCTTGGAAAGTAACTTTTTAAAAGTAATTTGTAGTGTAACAATTTCCCCTTGCCTTTCTCTCTCTCTTTATTACTTACTATGTTAAATTACTTATTAGACAAAACAGGGTCTGCATTTTTCCAAAAAGCTTTCAAAGTTCCTCCAAAAGAATTTTAATTTCTCTAATTAAAGAAAAAGAAACAATTACATATAAGTGAAACTGCTGATAATTAATTATGTTATAAGGACAGTTAAGGACAGTTATTAACAACCTTGTAATCCCAAAATGTAATGCATTACATTGCCTGTAACTCATTATGTCCAAACCAGGGACCCATCAGCAGTGAAGTACCATAGTATCTCAATATATGGCAAGCAGCAGAAACCTTGTATTTGCTGATGAAAACTAGAGAATTCAGAACTATTTTAAAAGAACACTTTTCTGTTGAAAAGATGAGTGCCCAGGGGATCGTCTGTTATACAGCATTCAAGAGATGTATGTTTTATGTCAGAGAATATTTTCATGTGAAGCTGAATTCTTTTTTGAGACTACAGTAATTTATCCTTAGATTAGAGGGATTGAAGAGAGGTGTGACAACACTTAAGTGCAAGAAATGTTTTGACCCTCTTCTCCAGATCTATTCTCTCATGTCAGACCATATATTTACTGCATTACTAAACACAATGACACATCTTTCTTCATCTGAGGTGAGGTGTTTTTATCTGGAATGTGACGGGGCACTTGTTTCTAGAAAGAAATAAACAATCTTCTGTAGAGTACCTGAAATCCCTGCTGCTGGCAACCATGCTACTGTTACTATTGCAGAGATAGCACTACAACATGTTTGGCAAGTCTTCCAGGCCAGAACTCTCCCCTGCCCATCCTCCCTTCCTTTGTTTTGTTGGAGAGTAGTGGGTGTTTTTTTGTTTTTGTTTTGTTTTTACTGTGCTTTAAAAAATTTCATGCTGAGAGACGTATTGCTGCACTTTACAGAAAATAGGCAGTTGGAAGCAGAATTCAGTTTCGAAAAGCACCTGCCCAATGCCTGTAAACATACAAATATCCAGTAGCACAACAATCTTGTATGATGATGCTCATTGTGCTCCAGCCCAGGATGCATGGGGATAGTTGGCAGTCTTCCCAGATCGCTTTTCAGTTCAGCCTGGGTGTTCCTCATATGCTCTCCTTATCTTCATTTCTTTAACAGTGGGAGCAAATATTGAGTCTTTGTGAAAGGAATGATACCATCATGTGTATGTGTCATTCATAATGGACGGCCTTTAGTCCTAGCACAAAAGTCCTCTATCAGTCATGCACAATTCATTATAGAGCATGACACCCTTCACTGTAGTCCCAGTATATTTATTGTCCCTTTGTTTGTTTCATGATTACTTTTTCTGATTAAAACAAGGGATACAGCTATTGGAGAACCAGTCCTTCTTTTCTTTTGCTGAACCACTACCATCCACCAATGCCTTTTTCCCTATGGCAACCACAGTGAAATCACAGGACATTTAGAGTATGCATGGCAGTAGCAGCATAGGTTATGTCAGAGCCTAGATGCAAGAAGTTTCAATTAATGTTCTTACCCTTAACTAGTAATTTTGGGGGCACAAGAAGAAGGCAACATCAAAAGTAACGTAAGAAAGAGAATCACAATTATTTTGATCACCATAGTGATTTTTTTAAAATTTTGCTGAATTTATTTATAAGAGGTGTTTTCTAGAGGCATTTCGGCAGGAATTTTTCCAGCACAATTCTTTCATAGGCTTTTTGAAAAGTAATAGAAAGTGATAAAAGTAGCACATAGCACAAGTAATGTAACATGACATTTTAAATCACTGCAATAAGTAAAAATAAATTACTCTTTCAAACAGCGACAAAAATCCTATTGCTTAGTGTAGTAAGTTACACCTAGTATGATCATCGAATCAGTTGAGATTTAGAGAGTGAACTCCTCCATAGATTCTTTTGATACAGTGGGCATATTCTTACATTCTGATACAATAGACGTGTTGAATTTATGGAGCCTCTGGAGGAATTAAATCACTAAATCTCCACTGATTCAGTGGGCCTACTCTGGGTGATTTGCTTTGTTAAGCAACAGGATTTTGACCATTGTTAATTGGTCAGATTACTTTTAATAAACATACATGCCATAAAGGCAGCTGACTCTCTACCTTACCTCTTTATAAATAGACTTTCTCTCCAAGTTATTTTAAAATCTGTATCTCTTTCATCACAGTTGGGGAGCCCTGAACATGTGAAACACTGTAAGAAATCAGCACTCTTCCAATTGGCTGAGGTAATGCTCTTTTATTGTATTAAATATTGTATATTTTTGTTATGACTATTTCACATTAAATACAGAGTAAATGAAAGTTGGCACCAGTGATATCATTAGCAACAAAGTGTTGGAATGAGGAGTTGCATACGTAAGCATAGCTGACTGGGTAACTCAGTGAGTTGAAACATGGGAGATGGAGGGGAGAGGTCAGGAGTTTGATTTTCCACCATGCATTTGTAGGGGAAAAGCCTGTTTGTGTGGTCTTGGGCAAGCTACACAGTCAAGAAGCACCTCTACAAGGGAATGGTATACCTAGAAAATCCTGGAAATAGTGGTCATAAGTATCAAACTCAACTTGACCCCACATAATTATCTCTATTTTATAGATGAAAGTAGAATCATCCCGACATTTGTATATTATGATCTTATTTCCATTTGTTCATAAAAGTGCAAATCCAGAACAAGGTAAATTTGCTTAACAGATGTTTTTACACATGATAGAAAAGACCACATCTGTCGCAGCTTGTTATTGTTATCCTTTATGTATTCTTTCCAAGGGAATTGGGTGAATAGAGGCCTTCTCCATTTTCATTATGTCCAGTTCCTGCCTAGGTATGGTGTTGTTGAATACATCTGGAGTACATAGAATCATAATATAATGGATTTTTGTATCCAAACCCCTGCATAATTACAGAAATCCAAGTCAAAGCATATCTGATGGATGGTTGTCTAACTTTCTCTTGAATGCCTCTACCATTAGAGCTCTCACCTCCTCCCAGGTTAATTGGTTCCATTATTATACTGCTCTAACAGTCGGAACGTGTATCCTGATATTCAGCTGAAATCTAGTTTCCTGTAACTTGAGCCCATTATTACATGTCCTGCACTCTGGGATGATCAAGAACAGATCATGCCCCTCCTCTGCATTACAGTCTTTCAAGTGTTGAACAGTGGCACAGTGGTTAAACTGCTGTATTGCAGCCAAAACTGTGCTCATGACCTGGGGTTCAATCCCAGGTAGCTGGCTCAAGGTTGATTCAGCCTTCTATCCTCTGAGGCTGGTAAAATGAGTACCCATGGGGGGGGGGAATGTGTAGCCTCCAAACAGTGGACCCTCAACTTACGAAGGTCCCTACTTACGAAGGTCTCTACTTACAGAAATTTCGAGGTATGAAAAGCTCCGGCCGCAAAATTTTAGTTTGACTTGCGGCCGGAACTTTGACCTACGAAACACAGGGGGGAAAGGGCGGGAAATTCAAAGCAGCCCCCGCTGCCCTCTTGTCTCCTGTCCCCACTGCCCTCTGCCTCGCTGCTGGCTTTCGGGGCTTAGAAAACTGCACCCACTGCGCTCTTCTCTCCTGTCTCCGGTGCCCTCTGCCTGTCCCCCGGGTGCAGCTTTGGAAACCTGGGATTTTTTTTCCTTTGGCTGGAATGCATTAAATGGTTTTCAGTGCATTCCTGTGGGAAATGGACCCTCAACCTATGGAATTTTCGACCTGTGGCCACCGTTCCAATACAGCACACTTTTTATTAAAAATTATCTCCCTTCAGTCCTCTTTTCTCAGTCATCCTTCTTGCCTTCCTTTGAACTTGTTCCAGTTTGTCTATATCCATCTTAACGTGTAGTGACCAGAATGGGACATAGTAATCAAGATGAGATGTAACCAATGTCAAATAGAGGGGAACAAATACGTCATAAGATCTGGAAACTATACTTCTGTTAATGCAGTCTAAAATAGCAATTGCCTTTTCTGCAGCCACTTCACATTGCTGGCTCATATTCAGCTTGTGATATACATCAATTCCAAGATCCCTCTCACTAGTATTACTGAGCTGAGAATCACCCATCTTGTAACAATATGTTTGGAGTTTTTTTACCCCTAGGTGTAGAACTTTAACCTTATGCACATTTAATTTCATTTAGTTGTTTTCTGCCCAATGCACAAGTTATCAAGATATTTTAATGTTGTTTCTGTCTTCTAGCTTATTAGCTACTTTATCCAACTTCACATCATTGCAAATTTGATAAGCATTACCTGCCCCTCCTCATCCAAGTCCTTAGTAAAAATGTTGCAGAGCACTGAGCTCAGCCCTCTGATATCCCACTTGTTAGCTTTTCCCAGTTTGAGAAGGAAACCTTGATAAGCATCTCTGAGTGCTGATTCTATAACCAACTAACTATAGATAGTTGTTCTATTTAGCCCACACTTACCTTACTAATCAGAATATGTTGGGTCAATTTGTCAGAAGTTTTGCTGAAGTCAAGATATATTATGTCTACAGCAATCCCACCATCTACCAAGGAGGTTACCTGATCAAAAAATGAGATAAGCGTAGTCTGGCAGAGTTTGTTCTTGCCAAATTGGTATTTTTACTTCTAGCTTTTACTGTATTGTTTTCAAGGTGCTTGCATAATGATCTCTATAATTTGCTCCAGAATTTTCCCTGGGATTGATATCAGGTTCCTCCTTTTTGAAGATTAGGTATTTAGATTATGTTGAGAAAGTTTTCTACACAGAAACTAGCTTCCAGGCACTTTTGTCTAACCACAGTTTTGAGTAAGAGGTTCATACCATAAATAAGGCGTGGACAATTTTGACAGGGCTGGGGGCAAACCTTTCACCTCCATATTCTACTGTGGGCTTCATCAGGCCCCATAACTGGCAGGAAGTGATAAGAGAGAAGAAAGTACCTAGATACCAGGATCAGTTTTGCATTTTCTTGGTATGGGTTGGAAAAACCTGAGGGGCCTGCTCAGTCCCCTACAGCAAGAACACCTGCTCCTGGGGGTGTCCAGGAGTAGAAATAGCAAATTTCTGTTCTAAAATTTACATTGCTGTCCTATTGGCTCTTAGGTGCCTCAAGGGGGCTGTGGAATTGTCCTGGGGGGTGTGATAGATAGGTACGTAGGTAGGCACTTTAAGGCATGGTATACAGGAGCCCGGTAACTGCATAGCATGCATTAAAGTGGTTATTTGGTGCTCTTTGGCAAGATAGTAGTTAAAGGGGTATTTAAATAATACAGATTAGAGATGGGGGTATTCATATAAGAATACGAATATCGCCACACAGCTGGACTTCACAAAGGGCCAGCCCCTGCGACCAGCCCATCCACTCATGCATGCGCTGGCAGCGGCAGCCTCACTCATCCTTTCAGGAGCTCCCGGAGCTCCGTTGTCTTCCTGCTCACCTGGCCACTCCAGGCAGTGAGTGGGAGGGAGGACAAGTCTCCTTTCATGGCTTCAGGGTCACTAGCCGAGCAGGAAGAGAACAGAGCTCAGGAACAATTGGAAGGATGAGCAAGGCTGCCGCTGCTGCCAGACACGTGAGTGGATGGGCTGGCTGCAGGGGATGGCCCCTCGTTAAGTCCAGGTGCGTGGGGATATATTCTTATATGAATACCCCCATCTCTAATACTGATCTGTTTTAACTGCACTTTTGAACGTAACTGTAGAGTCTAAAATCTCCTTTCACATTTTGTACTATACCTGCAGCCACAACTATGTCAGTGATATTATATTTTCTTCCACCATCTCTTCCTTCCTTCCT